ATATAGTGTATCTTGTGTGAATTCGCTCTCTGGTAACAGATAGTGTCTCCTGTGTGAATGCCCTCTCTGGTAACATATAGTGTATCCTGTGTGAATGCTCTCTCTGACAACAAATAGTGTATCTTGTGTGAATGCCCTCTCTGGTAACATATAGTGTCTCCTGTGTGAATGCCCTTTCTGACAACAAATAGTGTATCTTGTGTGAATGCCCTCTCTGGTAACATATAGTGTCTTCTGTGTGAATGCCCTCCCTGGTAACATATAGTGTATCTTGTGTGAATTCCCTCTCTGGTAACATATAGTGTCTCCTGTGTGAATGCCCTCTCTGACAACATTTATTGTATCTTGTGTGAATGACATCATTTTAGGTCATGTCCGATATAAATGCTCCTCCTACATGTACGTCTGCATATCTGTAATTGATCAGAAACATTAAATCTTTGACTGCAAACATTAATGAACTCTTGTTTATTCACTGAGGTATTATGTACCGTGCGTGTTAGTCGTGTTCATTAGAACCTCTGCTGAGCGAGTTGATCTCCCAACCTCGCGGGTTATTGATGCGGCGTTATCTTCTAGTTCTCAGTCCTCTGTTCAATGTTTCCAAAGACAATACTGTTTTAAACCGCCGCCATTACTCATCAATAGGGTTTTACTAACTGTTGACCGCTGGGCACTCTGCATGCAGTGATAAACGTGTTTCCTTTTGCAAGTTGAAGAAATTACCTTCTGCACACACATGACACCAACAGGAATTCTCCAACAGGAATGTCTAAATAAGACTGTTCGTGTAATATAAAATCATATACATATATACTGTTATCTACAGAGAAGGTAACTGAGATCGCAACATGTAGGCCGACTCCATGTCTAATACTGAATCTGAAGATGTTTGTAATAACACTCACGTGAATCCATTTACCCTACCTCAAAACTGCAGTAGGCGCCATTCTAGACCTTAAATCATATCAAGTTATACACACTACTTAACGTGGGCGACGACGCTCGTAGTTCTCTGCTAATTGATGCTAGTCCTGAGATCAACATGTGTTGTCCTTCATACTTATAGCGAACCAGACATTTAATGAACTGTAGTGTCATGAAGTAACTTGAACAAAGAACAGTCACCAGTAATATGTTATTGTGGTATTTACATTCCAGTCATTAAACAGATGAAGCAAAACGCGAAGATAACAACGAGTGAATCTAAAAAAGAGTTTGCCACTTACGTGGCTATATCCCCCGCCCCTGTTGCAGAATTTTTGACATAATTAAATCTAAACAAACCCTAACCTTTTTTAACCGAGGTGGAACTTGTCATGGAAATTGTAAAAAAAAGAAAAGTTTGGAACATAAGTCCATCTTGTTGCCATGGAAACGTAAAAAATAAAAAATCCTAAAATTTCTAAATAGCAAAAGGCACCAGTTCAGCATGTACCTGACAGACCTGCAAAGTTTGATGAAAAAATATTGAACGGTTTATGAGTTATGCTCCGGAAACGAAACGTGACGGACGGACGGAGCCTGTTTCTATATCCCCCGCCAACTTTGTTGGGAGTGGGATAATAATACCCAACAGTAGAGGTGGCGCCACAGACGGGAGATACAAACATTATTTAATGTCGGTGACGTGGCAACAAGGAGGTGTAAGGTGTCTATACTAGTGGCGGCGTCACAGATAGGAGATATAACACTACACTAGTGGCGGCGTCACAGATAGGAGATATAACACTAAACTAGTGGCGGCGTCACAGAGAGGAGATATAACACTAAACGCGTGGCGGCGTCACAGAGAGGAGATCTAGCACTACACTAGACTAAGTGGCGGCGTCACAGAGAGGAGATATAACACTACACTAGTGGCGGCGTCACAGAGAGGAGATATAACACTACACCAGTGGCGGCGTCACAGAGAGGACATATAACACTACACTAGTGGCGGCGTCACAGAAAGGAGACATTATCTCAATACTAATGTAGTGGTAGCGGCGTCACAGAAAGGAGATATTATCTCAATACTAATGTAGTAGTGGCGGCGTCACAGACAGGAGATATAAACTGAAAACTGGTGTAGTCGAGGCTGCGGCCAGGAGAGGAGATATTATGCCACAGGGATGGGATACTAATTGCGGTGACGTGACAATGAGGAGATAAAATGATTCTGTACCAAAAGAGGCATCACAGATAGGAGATAAAAGAACAATACTGGTATGGTGGTGGCGGCGTCACAGAGAGGAGACATAAACACTATACTAGTGGAAGCTATGTCACAGAGGTGATATAATCTCCATTCTAGTGGAGGCTATGTCACAAAGAGGAGTGATAATGTCCGTACTAGTGGAAGGTATGTCACAGAGAGGAGCTATAATCTCAATTCTAGTGGAGGCTATGTCACAGAGACAGCGACGTGAAGCAGAGTTCATATAAGTACGACCAAAGACTGAGACGAGACCCAGAGTACATATTGGTACGACCAGAGACAGTGACGTGACGTAGAGTACATATTGGTACGACCAGAGACAGTGACGTGACGCAGCGTGCATATTGGAACGACCAGAGACAGTGACGTGGCGCAGAGTATATATTTGTACGACCATAGACAGTGACGTGACGCAGTGTACACATTCGTACGACCTGAGACAGTGACGTGACGTAGAGTACATACTTGTACGACCAGAGACAGTCACGTGACGCGGAGTGCATATTGGAACGACCAGAGACAGTCACGTGGCGCAGAGTACATATTTGTACGACCAGAGACAGTCACGTGGCGCAGTGTATATATTTGTACGACCATAGACAGTGACGTGACGCAGAGTACACATTTGTACGACCTGAGACAGTGACATGACGCAGAGTACATATTTGTACGACCAGAGACAGTCACGTGACGCGGAGTGCATATTGGAACGACCAGAGACAGTCACGTGGCGCAGAGTACATATTTGTACGACCAGAGACAGTCACGTGGCGCAGTGTATATATTTGTACGACCATAGACAGTGACGTGACGCAGAGTACACATTTGTACGACCTGAGACAGTGACATGACGCAGAGTACATATTTGTACGACCAGAGACAGTGACGTGACGCGGAGTGCATACTGGAACGACCAGAGACAGTCACGTGACGCAGAGTGCATATTGGTACAAAAGACAGTGACGTGACGCAGAGTACAATTTGGTACGACGAGACAGTGACGTGACGCAGAGTACATATTGGTACCATAGACAGTGACGTGACGCAGAGTACATATTGGTACGACGAGACAGTGACGTGACGCAGAGTACATATTGGTACCATAGACAGTGACGTGACGCAGAGTACATATTGGTACGACGAGAGACAGTGACGTGACGCAGAGTACTTATTGGTACCATAGACAGTGACGTGACGCAGAGTACATATTGGTACGACGAGAGACAGTGACGTGACGCAGAATACTTATTGGTACCATAGACAGTGACGTGACGCAGAGTACATATTGGTACGACGAGAGACAGTGACGTGACGCAGAGTACATATTGGTACCATAGACAGTGACGTGACGCAGAGTACATATTGGTACGACGAGAGACAGTGACGTGACGCAGAGTACATATTAGTACCATAGACAGTGACGTGACGCAGAGTACATATTTGTCTTACAGAAACTCGGATTACGTATATCATTACGTGCATTGCTATTCTATTTTATCGTTCGCTGTAAAGCTCCTCTCCACAATTAGGGAATATATACACGTACAGTTGTCCCCGTACATCGCCGTTGTATTTTGTTGTTACATGTCATCTAGCTTACTTAAAGTTTATGAATATGATTGTGCGGTATATCTGTTGTACATGGTTCAGGGTATGTGGTTCTGCACTCAGTTATGTCGTACAACTGGGACATTTCTACATGGAACAGTCGGGGGAACTACACATAGCGGAACACATTATTATCTCATTATTACCTTTACCGATATGCAACACTAATGGAACATGCATATTAACGTATCAACAAGATCAAAGTTTTTCTTTCGATTTTTTCGTCACATGTGTAACAAAAGTATTTTTTTTAGGGTATCGGTGTATTTTGCTAGTTTCATAATACATCCCACACTTATACATGTCTATAATAGAGTTTCTGTGTAACTGTAACAGAACTAACTGTATATTTCATGATTTTTTATGTTATGTTAATGTAGTAGCTACACCATAGTATGAATAACGGTAATGTTTTAAGAAAGACTTAAACTACTGTAAGGTAAATGCCTTAATAATAATATTCAAACTGCGTCAAACAGTAAGAAATATTAACAGATCGTCCTTCTCTTTCGGTTTCAGTGACTGAAGTGGGAGGAATGAGCTAGGGTGATATTACGAGCGTTTGTTCGTCGTGATCTTTGCTGTAGCTGAGAAAAGCTGAGAAAAGACCAACACTCTGAAATCTGACATGCGTGTTAACTACTTAAACACTTCACTTGGTGAAGCATAACGTTTAGTCAAGTGTCATTACAAAAATCTCCGAAGAGTTCCAAGGAGCTGGGCAAACGTCTGTAGAAAGCTATGTTTGACAACCCATACAAGCAGACTGAGATGTACTAACACCCTCTGTTTACGGAAGTGTGGTGATGTAAGTGAGTATTGAAGCTTTTTTGGAATTGCCTACCTGACATTGCAGAGTGCGGCGCAGCCTGATCAGATCAGCTGTTCAAGTTTTTCCAACAGGCCTCTAGCAGTCTCTAGAAAGAGGACTTACATCCTTCAAACGCTGTCACAATCCTGCTTAATTAACCACCACTAGTCGTCGGTCACGACTTCCACTGCGTGAGAGAATCTAGTCCGTCTTTACCACAAGCCGCGCAGTGGGAAGACTCAAGTAAATTGACCGCTGTCCTGGACAGCTGTGCAGACCCGAGACACTGACCCGAATCACTCAGACTGACCACAACACGCCACAGCTGTCCTGATATTTAGGAAACTGTTAACCGTAATACTGTTACGTGGTTGAACTTACCTATGGCTGAAGTAGTCGTGTTATCTCGTGTTGATAGCTTCAGTAGGTGATAGATACAGACTGCCAGTCTGCTGCCACAGAGAGCTGGCGTCGACTCACAGGATCGTCTGCTACTCTTGCGCGCAGGAACCACTCGCTACGACCAACCACATAGCGGTATATCAACACACATACTACTGATTTAAATGCCGCTTGTTCTGGCTTTGCCCTCCTTCTGACGTCACGTGGCTGTACCAATCCATAGGAGATAACGCATGGGTTTGCAGCAATGACAATACCCTTCCTCATTGATCGTTGTTAGATCCCGTTCCCTCTCCCAAGCGTCCACATCAGTCACGCAACGACCAGGGCACAGCTGCCTGACCCAACCGCACGTCGCTACTCCGCCAACAAGCCACATGTGCTAAATACTATATCCATACGCCGCACTGACGACTGTCCTACTTTCACGACGTTTAACAGTGCTTCTACGAATTTATCCATGTTCAGTGACCAATGCGGACAATCATAATACCTTATGACTGATCATACGTTTTAACTGTAATATATACTCATATCAGTATGAACAACGAACACAGTAGGTAAAATTCAAGCAATCTAATAGGCATGCCCCAGCTCTACCACGGTGGAGCTTTCTCCTGTTCAAAGCCTGTGCCTGTCACAGTCCATTAGACAGGAGGTCAATTTTGACCAGATTTTAGATTTTTCAAGGGATGACAGTATGTTTGTGATTCAGACGTAGTTCCACTTATACTGGCAAGGCACTAGATGTATTTGTTTGTTGTGATATGGTACTGCCGTGTACACAGTTAAATATATAATTAATAAACTGGAATTGTATACACTGAAATATTGTTTCGTTTATATGTTTGCCCATGGTTGGTAGTTCAGTGAAAAAACGTTCAAGAACGTTGACAAAACAACGTTGACATAACCTATTCACAACATTATTAAAAACATAAATCTAAAATAGGCCCAACATATTACATGTTCAAATGGCCCTATATGTTTCTAGGGCGTCGGTTCTGCCCCATGCTGAAGCACGTGTGGTGTCTCCTTAGCGAGTGACTTTGTCTGAAATGTGCCTCTCTTCAGATGGTAATTTGACGTCAACGTTCCAGCGCCTCACATGCCATTTGGGTTGTAAACTCCCAAGGGAGCTGAGAAAGAGGATAGAGTTCTCACTCATCCATCGACCGAGATAAAAATGGTATTTGAGCATACATCATAGATCGACTAAAGCGCATTTATTTATTTATTTATTTATTTATTTATTTATTTATTTAAACAAACATATGCAGCAAGTCAACTGCGATTCTTCATCATCGACATAATCGTTGGTGACGGCGAGACCGTAACCGCCGCACACAAAGCACAGCTGGCTGCAGGATCCTCTTCGTACACACAATACACAGGTGAGTGGAGGAATCTGCTCGTACACACAAAACACAGCTGACTGCAGGATCTTCCTCGTACACACAAAGCACAGCTGATTGCAGGATCCTGCTCGTACACACAAAACACTGGTGAGTGGAGAATCCTGCTCGTACACACCAAACGCAGATGAGTGGAGAATCCTGATCGTACACACAAAAGAATGGTGAGTGGAGAATCCTGCTCGTACACACCAAACGCAGATGAGTGGAGAATCCTGATCGTACACACAAACGCTGGTGAGTGAAGGATTCTGCTCATACACACAATACACAGTAAGTGGATTATCTTGCTCGTAAACACAAAACACAGATGAGTGGAGGATCCTCCTCGTACACACAAATTACAGGTAAGTTGAGGATGCTGCTCGTGCACACAAAACACAGTTGAGTGGAGGATTCTGCTTATACACACAATACAGAGGTCAGTGGAGGATCCTGCTCGAACACACAAAACACAGGTAAGCGGGGGGATTTTGATCGTACACACAAAACACACGTAAAAGGAGGATCCTACTCGTACACACAAAACAGAGGTGAGTGGAAGATTCTGCTTATACACACAAAACACAGGTGAATGGAGAATCCTGCTCGTACACACAAAACAAAGGCAAGTGGATTATCTTGCTCGTACTCACAAAACACAGGTGAGTGGAGGATTCTACTTATACACACAATACACAGATGAGTGCATTATCTTGCTCGTACACACAAAACACAGGTGAGTGGAGGATCTTGCTCCCTCACACGAAACACAGGTGAGCGGAGGATCCTGCTCGTACACATAAAGCACATGTGAGTGGAGGATCTTGCTCCTACACATAAAACACAAGTCGAGCGGAGGATCTTGCTCCTACACACAAAAAAAAACAGGTGAGCGGAGGATCCTGCTCGTACACATAAAGCACATGTGAGTGGAGGATCTTGCTCGTACACACAAAACACAGTTGAGTGAATGATCTTACTCGTATATACAAAACACAGTTGAGTTGAGGAACCTGCTCGTACCACAACACGTAGGTGAGTCGAGGACCCTGCTTATACACACAATACACAGATGAGTGGATTATCTTGCTCGTACACACAAAACACAGGTGATTGGAGGATCCTGATCGTAATACACAAAACATAGGTGAGTGGAGGATCCTGATCGTAATACACAAAACGCAGGTGAGTGGAGGAGTCTGCTTATACACACAATACAGATGTGAGAGGTGGATCCTGCTCGTACACACAAAACACAGGTGAGTGGATGATGTTGCTCGTACATACAAAACACAGGTGAGTCGAGGATACTGATCTTACACACAAAAGAACAAATGAGTGGAGCATCTTGCTCGTACACACAACACAAAGGTGAGGGAAGGATTCTGCTTATACACACAATACACAGATGAGTGGATTATCTTGCTCGTACACACAAAACACAGGTGAGTGGAGGATCCTGCTCGTACACACAAAACATGGGTGACTGGAGGGTCTTTCTCGTACTCACAAAACACAGGTGAGTGGAGGATTCTCCTCGTACACACAAAACACAGGTGAGTGGAGGATTCTGCTCATACACACAAAACCCAGGTTAATGGAGGATCCTGCTCGAACACACAAAACACAGGTAAGCAGTGAATTTTCATCGTACTATCAAAACACAGGTGAAAGGAAGATCCTACTCGTACACACAAAACACCGGTGAGTAGAGGATTCTGTTTATACACACAAAACACAGCCGAATGGAGAATCCTGCTTGTACACACAAAACAAAGGTGAGCGGAGGATTCTGCTTATACACACAATACACAGATGAGTAGACTATCTTGCTCGTAAACACAAAACACAGGTGCGTGGAGGATGTTGCTCGTACACACAAAACACAGGTGAGTGGAGGATCCTGCTCGTACACACAAAACACAGGTGAGTGGAGGATCCTGCTCGTACACATAAAACACAAGTTGAGCGGAGGATCTTGCTCCTACACACGAAACACAGGTGAGTAGAGGATCCTGCTCGTACACATAAAACACATGTGAGTTGAGGATCTTGCTCGTACACACAAAACACAGATGAGTGGAGGATCCTGCTCGTACACACAAAACATAGGTGAGTGGATCATCTTCCTCGTACACACAAAACACAGATGAGTGGAGCATCCCGCCTATACACACAAAACACAGATGAGTGGAGGATCTTGCTCGTACACACAATACGCAGGTGAGTGGAGGATTCTGCTTGGACACATAATACAGATGTGATTGGAGGATCTTGCTTATACACCCAAAACACAGGTGAGAGGTGGATCCTGCTCGTACACACAAAACACAGGTGAGTGGATGATGTTCCTCGTACATACAAAACACAGGTGAGTCGAGGATACTGATCTTACACACAAAAGAAGAAATGAGTGGAGGATCCTGCTCGTACACACAAAACAAAGTTGAGTGGATGATGTTGCTCGTACATACAAAACACAGGTGAGTCGAGGATCCTGATCTTACACACAAAAGAACCAATGAGTGGAGCATCTTGCTCGTACACACAATACAAAGGTGACGGAAGGATTCTGCTTATACACACAATACACAGATGAGTGGGTTATCTTGCTCGTACACATAAAACACAAGTTGAGAGGAGGATCTTGCTCCTACACACAAAAAACAGGTGAGCGGAGGATCCTGCTCGTACACACAAAACATAGGTGACTGGAGGGTCTTCCTCGTACTCACAAAACACAGGTGAGTGGAGGATTCTGCTCGTACACACAGAACACAGGTGAGTGGAGGATTCTGCTCGTACATACAAAAACACAGGTGAGTGGATGATGTTGCTCGTACATACAAAACCCAGGTGAGTTGAGGATCCTGATCTTACACACAAAACAACAAATGAGTGGAGGATCCTGCTCGTACATACAAAACAAAGTTGAGTGGATGATGTTGCTCGTACATACAAAACACAGGTGAGTCGAGGATCCTGATCTTACACACAAAAGAACAAATGAGTGGCGCTTCTTGCTCGTACACACAAAACACAGGTGAGTGGAGGATCCTGCTCGTACACACAAAACACAAGTTGAGCGGAGGATCTTGCTCCTACGCACGAAACACATGTGAGTGGAGGATCCTGCTCGTACACAGAAACACATGTGAGTGGAGGATCTTGCTCGTACACACAAAACACAGGTGAATTGAGAATTCTGCTCGTACACACAAAACACAGGTGAGTGGAGGATTCTGCTCGAACACACAAAACACAGGTAAGCAGAGGATGTTCATCGTACAAACAAAACACAAGTGAAAAGAAGATCCTTCTCGTACACACAAAACACCGGTGAGCAGCGGATTCTACTTTTACACACAAAACACAGCTGAATGGAGAATCCTGCTTGTACACACAAAACAAAGGTGAGCGGAGGATTCTGCTTATACACACAATACACAGATGAGTAGACTATCTTGCTCGTACCCACAAAACACAGATGAGTCGAGGATCCTGATCTTACACATAAACACATGTGAGTGGAGGATCTTGCTCGTACACACAAAACACAGGTGAATTGAGGATTCTCCTCGTACACACAAAACACAGGTGAGTGGAGGATTCTGCTCGAACACACAAAACAAAGGTAAACAGAGGATGTTCATCGTACAAACAAAACACAAGTGAAAAGAAGATCCTACTCGTACACACAAAACACCGGTGAGTAGCGGATTCTGTTTATACACACAAAACACAGCTGAATGGAGGATCCTGCTTGTACACACAACACAAATGTGAGCGGAGGATTCTGCTTATACACACAATACACAGATGAGTAGACTATCTTGCTCGTACACACAAAACACAGAACAGTGGATGATCTTGCTCGTACACACAAAACACAGATGAGTGGAGGATCCTGCTCCTACACACAAAACAGAGGCGAGTGGAGGATCTTGCTCGTAAACACAAAACACAGATGAGTGGA